ACTATAGCTTTCCAAAAAAGCTGAATGGGTGTTAGACAAATAATATGGCTAATAAGGTAAACTGATGCCAGGTCACAAATGGTCTATATGATTTGCTAAGACTTATTTCTATCCTATGCACAAGAAAAGTTGATACTGATAAAAGTCTCTTATTCTAAAAGACAGAAATTCTGCAAATATTTTTGGTGGAAAAATGATAAGAGTTTCAGAAATATTCATGTATTTTAAAGAACAAAATATTTTACAATTTTTTACTGAGGCAATGAAAGAAATAGTGATATAAAAGGAAAAATAGTTTTCTTTTATAAAAAAATCTTATTTACTTATTTATTTATTTATGAGAGACACGTAGAGAAAGGCAGAGACATAGGCAGAGGGAGAAGCAGTCTCCCTGTAGGGAACCTGATACAGGACTTGATCCTAGGACCCCGGGATCACAACCTGAGCTGAAGGTAGCACTCAACCAGTGAACCATCCAAGTGTCCCTTTTTATCAAATCTTTATAATGCTTTACTATTTGTAATTGTTAAAAAGAGAGTAAGAATTATAATCACCTTCATTATTCCTTTACTTCTAATAATTAAGCATTTATTTTTTAAAAAGAAAAAATAATGGACCTTAATTTAATTTAAGGAGGTAATAGTGATGGTACCAAAGGATTTACTGATGGATCCTATGTGGATTATGGCAGAGAAAATTCAATCATGATATCAAAGTTTTAAGCATAAGCAGCCAGAATGACAGAACTACCATTCTTGGAAAGGGAAATGTTAAAAGGAAGAAAAGTTGGGAGCTGAGAAATTGGGAGTTCAGTTTTGTACATGCTCATTCGAGATGCTTTACCACACATCCAAGTGGAAGTGGCAAGCTGGCAGCTAGCTATGTTAGTCTAGAGTTTAGGGCAGCGTTCCAGGTAGAAATACACATTTGGGAAAGAGTAGCATAGATATAGTATTTAGATCCATGAAACTGGAGCAAAGTACTTAGCGAATACACAGAGCAAAGATGATTTGGGAATGATCTCTGCAACAGTCTAACATTGAGAGGATGGGGAAATAAGGAGAAACGGGGAAGAGGAGTAAGTGATCTCTTCAAAGCACTCACATGTATCAAATTGCTTGAAAGTCAAACATTGAGACAGATAAGGAAACAATTAACTACTAGATTTGGCAATGAGACATTACTGCTGACTTTGACAAGAGCACTTTCAGGGGTAAGTATTAAAGCTCAATTTGAATAGCACAAGGGAGAATGGAGGCAATAAATAAATAAACTGGAGGCACAGTTTTGTAATAAAGGAGAGGTGGCTGAAAAGTAGCTCAAAATGACTATGGGGAAAGTTTCTCTGTTTTGTTTTTAACACAGGAAAAATAACACACCTGTATGCTGTGATGTGTGGGAAGATCTAGAAAAGAAGGAAAATTAGCAGAAGAGGACAAGAGTTTGGGTGAAGACCTTAACATAAGAGGGAGGATGGGATGTAGTGCACAGGTCATAGGACTGGTTTTCCATAGCAAAATGATGATCTCTGTAAGAGCCAGGGAAAGGCAGAACATATAGGGTAGAATGTCTAGGGAGGGCAATTTAACAGCAGATGGGACTTAACAGTCTTCTTTGTATTAGCGATTTTGTTTGCAGAAATGTGCCTCTTTAAGGAAATAATCATGTTGAAGTACAAAGACTTAGCTATAAGAATGCTATGACAACATTATATTTAAAAGCAAAAAAGTGAAGGCGTCTTAGAGCAATAATAATTAGCTACTGGACGTTACAGGCCTAAAATCCATTCAAACAAAAAGGTTTAAAGATGTTTAAAGTTACATTAAGATGTAACTCAGAAAAACTGAGTATTCTCACCAGCACACAACCTAAAACTAAAAACCAGTTTTAAACATAAAATACATTTTAGGGGGATCCCTGGGTGGTGCAGCGGTTTAGCGCCTGCCTTTGGCCCAGGGCGCGATCCTGGAGACGCGGGATTGAATCCCACGTCGGGCTCCCGATGCATGGAGCCTGCTTCTCCCTCTGCCTATGTCTCTGCCTCTCTCTCTCTCCCCCTCTGTGTGACTATCATAAATAAATAAAAAATACATTTTATGATGCTATCTATTAACATATTTCACATATATTGCTTCAAAAGGTAACACTTCATTTAAAAAGACTAATGGTTAATAAACATTTTTAAAAGTTTAGCAGCACCAGTAATCAAAAAAATGCAAATTAAAACAAAAGGAAAAAACTCCAAAGGGTACCATCTTTCAGTTACAGAATTGGCCACACTTTTATTTATTTATTTATTTATTTTGCCACACTTTTATACTTAATTGGCAATGGTGGGAAGCAGGCAATCTCACATATTGCCTATAGAAACTAAATAAGCATGGCCTCTCTGGAGGCCATTTTGACAGCCTATTTCAAAAGCTTTAATAATATATATGCTTTATCCAAGAAATTTTACTTCCAGGAGTTTAACTTAAAGAAATAATCATGTCCGTTTAAAAAGATGTAGTTACAAGGTTATTAACTCCAATAGTGTATATGACAGCAAACAACTAACTGAATGTATCCTAAAGGTCTAACAATAATTGAGTAGATACATTATATAAATAATTAAATTCTATTCATTTAGGGAAATTATGCTGTAGTAGGATAGTTAATGACATGCAAAAATGTCCATTATACAGTATTAAGGGAAATAAGTATTACATGTATATTATGATTCCATCTTAATTAAAAAATATATCTATGCATAAAAAGGCTGGAAAGCTACTCATCAAAATGTTAATGCTTCTAGAAGCTGCTTCTTAAAGGTAAGATTATGAGTGACTTAAACTTTCTTTTATCTACCTGTCTTCATTTTCTAATTTTTCTATAATTAATATGTATTACCTTACCAATAAATTAAAAGTAGTAATTTTGTTAGGGACAGACTTTTACAGTTTCCTAAAATTAGAAACTGAATAGGGCTTTTTATTTTTTAAGATTTTATTTACTTATTCATGAGAGACACAGAGAGAGAGGCAGAGACACAGGCAGAGGGAGAAGCAGGCTCCATGCAGGGAGTCCGATGTGGGACTCGATCCCAGGACCCCGTGATCACGCCCTGAGCTGAAGGCCAGATGCCTAACTGCTGAGCCACCCAGGTGCCCCTGAATAGGGCTTTTTAAAAATGTATCGAACATAAGCATATCTCATGGAAGCCACCATGTGTTTAAACTACTGGTTCTTTATGACAATCAGGATAGTTTAAATCCTTCTAAAAAGAAGACCACCTCTGTGGTTAGTAACGCAAACTTGTTTATGACTAGGTTCACCTGGTATTTCCCTTCTAATTTTAGTGTTCTTTTCATAAGATAGTAGAAATTCCTCAGCATATAAAGGAAAGGAAGCTTTTTTTGCATGTTTGGATTAGTGAATCAAAGAAAGAGGAAGTTGCATAAAAATTTAGACAAAAGGTGGTTAAGTAGGTTGGAGAAAGAGCATGTATTATCAGATCCATTCCGAGGGGACCAGTTGAAAAGGTTCCATTACTGTAAAGTGTTGTAATAATTACTACAGCCTCTTATGTAAGTATGAAAGAAAAATTAGTATTTATATTTATCTTTGTATCTTAATTTAGGTCACTTCCTAAATCCCTAAAAATAGCCTTTCTACTTACATGTTAATGGCCAAACACCTAATGTCCCGCTGTCATCTTGCTCTTTAATTCCAGACCTGTGGCATATTCTACACAAACTAGCTCTAAAACTATGGACAAGTTATTTAGCCTCTCTGCATTTTAGTTTCCTCATGTATAAAATTAGAATAGTGGTGCCTATGTCACTGGCTTCTGAGGATTAAATGGGTTAATAGAAGGAAAGCACTTTGAACAATGCCTGAGATACAAGTAAATATTCAATAAGTATTATCACTATTCTTTTTACTAGTATTATTTTTGAACTATATATCTTCATAAAATGTAAATATAAAATCCAATATATCCCAAACAGTATAATTTTTTACCTGTTCAAAAATTCTTGCTGTATTCCTTTTTCAGATCTAATATACTAGAATTATCCCTTTTCCCAAGTGATCCACTTACTCAAGTTAGAAATCTTGGTACCATAATACTGTGTTACTACTTCTTCCTCACCACCTAAAGTATCTTAACACTGTCAAACAGTGACTTCTCTTACTAGATGGCGATTATTTTGGGGACAAGGACTAAACTCTTTTTCAGAATTTCATGAAGTACCTACACTCCTGACAGCTATGTATCCTTGGCAGTTAGGAAAATTTCTTTTCTACATTAGGTCCTCAATAAATCCATCTTCAGTATGTGTGCATGTGTGTATGTGTACGTGTATTACTCTTTGTTTCCCTTACAACTCTGGCCTGATATTAAACAATAACAGTTTTAAAGCATATAAAGATGATCATTCTATTCAGGAAACCAATTACGCAAGGAGACCTTCAAAAAATCTATAGATTTCATCTGATTCATTTTCAATGCTGATGAGATTGTAGGAGATTCTTAACTCTCATACAATTCTGGTAGTAGGATAAATTGGTACAACTCTTTTATAAAGATACACTTTAAGGGCCATAAGATTTCTCATTATATTTGCCTGAGTAATTGTAAATTCACAGTAGAAACAAAAAGAAAATTGATTTGTACAAAATGTTCATTATTTTTTCCTTTATAGTGGAAGGAAAATAGAGAATCTGAATGATGGATTTCAGTTTTGAACTGTCAATGTACTATTATAGAGCTATTAAAGTTATCATTATAATGACTAAAGCAATAGAAATACATGCTATTCTCAAAAAAACTATATTTATGCTGGAATTGCAATTATGTAAAAAGTGTATTTACATAAACACTAAAAATGCAAATGGAGTCTATAATTTTGAACTATTTCTGATACTTAAATAAAAGCAATTTTAATCAGATGAATATATTACACGAGATATTCAACTATAAATTAAGATTTTAATAATATGTTTAAGATGTCAACTACCTTTGGGTAAACTTCAAATATGGTGTGTAGTCTATTACAGCAGGAAAGTTTCCATCCAATCCCTCTCCCTTGAGGCAAAAGCTAAGACAAGAGACAATAAATATGTCACATAATACATAAACCTTTAAATTGATGTTAAATGTTTTAAATAATCTTTGTTAGAGACATCTGTTTTATCAAATTGCAGGTAAATTTTTTTATTTATAATTTAAGTGTTACTTTTTAATGTTACTTGTTACAAATAAACGCCTTAATAAAGATACTCTATATTCACTATTGATGACAAAGGATTGCACAAGTTAATACACTCTAATATGAATATACTATGCAAAAGAAAAACTGAGAAATCTGTTCAAACATTATTGGACACTACCTTGGTCTTCACTGGATTTAAGATGTTACTGGTGGATTTTCAAATGAATACTTGTTCATTCTTACATACAAATTCTTACCTGATATTGACTATCTCCTTAAAAATTGACTAAAAGAATAAATAAAAATAAAAATTCTGACTAATTAGAAAATGAAAGTTTTCTAAACTATATGAATAGATGAAAAGGTTTGGGTCTTAGGACTATAGAGAATGCTAAAAAACAAACAAACAAAAAAAAACAAAAAAAAACAAAACCCTTTCACTCTTTAGTCCATCCTTTTTGAGATCTTGGCAACAGGAAAATTTAGGTTGAGATTTGCCTAAAGTCATACTGGGAGTCTTATAAAGCCAGTAAAGCAACTCTAGATCACCTGGTCTCCCAATCCAGTAGTCTTTGCTTTGAATGATGGTATATCCAATTGGATAACAAAAAAAAAAAAAGTGTTTAGTTTTATGATTACCATTATTAAAAGAAAAAAGTACATCTTCTAGGAACATAAACAATAACATTTACAAGATGTATGTGGATCTTTTTTTTTTTAAAAAAATTCATCCGTGAACTCCCACCTTCTAGTTTCTTTGGTAAGTTTGCCTGTTGAAATACCATTCTAATGTGTTAGTGTCAAGGGTATGTATGTACTTTTTCATACTTGAATAAGGAGTCATCAAAAGTATCAATACTTTGTAGGAGCTTTGCTTCATTTACAGAACTATTACTAATGTAGCTTTAAGACACTTGCTTTCAGCCATTTATATAGTATCAATGGGTTACAACAAGCCAACAGTTCATGCATTTATCCCAGGTTTTCTTTCTTTCTTCCTTCATCTTTTTTTTTTAATCAAAAAACAGAATTGTGAAGGATTCAGACAGGGCCAGCAGCATGACAGGTGAAAAAAGTAAAACATTCAGAAGGATTAAAAAAACAAGATCCATATTAGATCTATCATATTCATATTCTAAACAATTAAGCTAATAACTGAATACTATTTTATTAAATTTTAAATAGAGGAAAATTACACTGACAAAATGAAAATATTTTGAAAAGGAAGTGATTAAAAAAAGGTAACCTCAGTGGAAATGAGCAGTATTATTATTATCATCATTATTATTGTTTTGCAATATTATTTTTTGATTCAAGATCTAACAGATTTTCATTTAAGTTTTATACTTTGTTGAAACTCTTGTAATTTTAAGTGATATTTTCCAAAAAATTATAATATTTCCATCATTCTTATGTTTGAGTTCTTGTTAAAAACAAACCTTTTACTTTTAGTATAACTTGGATCAATTAAAGAAATGTAAAAAGATACTCCCATAAATCTGTGAAAAACTTACATTTATATTTTTGGCACTTATGATCTTAGTCTGAAATGATCTTATTGATAGTAAAGGTAAATATTAATAATATTTTTGATGTTCTAGATACATAATAGAAGCCCAAGACACCCAATATATCATGCCAGGATCTTTTTAATTTCAATACATGAGATAATGAAAATCTTTCTGGCTTTGAATCTTTTAGTGCATCTTCTTTCATTTTAAAGCAGTTGCTGAAAAATACTAAGAGATAAGATCCAAAAACTTCCTTCAGTGCTAGCAGGGTATATAATTTTTCTACTGCGTTAATGCAGTCTAGGATTTTTTGCCCAACCTAGAAAGCAAACAGGACAGTTAATTCCTTAACTCTCAGTCTCTTTGCCCAATCTAGAAAGCAACATGATAGTTAATTCCTTAACTCTGAGAGTAAATTCTTAACTTCTGAGAGTAAACCCAGTCAGAGAACTGATGTCACAGGATAGGGAACAACATGAACCAAATATAAAATCCAGCTGTATGCTTTACTTATTAGCAAAACAAAACAAAAAAAAACCCTAAGTAGAAACCATTATGAGGTCAAATAACTTAAAAACTGAACACATTTAGATTAAGTACCTGAAATCGATAGCATTGAGTCCAAGCAGCATGCCAGCGAGCATATTTGCTTCCTCACCCAAGACAATTGCTCCATCTTCATAAAATCGTCTAAAAAATGAAATGGGTAAATATATAAATATTAAAAGCAGACTGAAGTTTCATCTATAGAAATCAGAGACCAAACTAAAGTAGAAAGAACTAAATTTTAATTAATTTATCAAAATAAAAACTACATGGATCATCCAATTCTTGTAGATACTTAGGAAAACAATGCCAGCAGTAACAAAAAATATCATTGTTTCCACTTCTCTTAAAAAGAATCCCTGACTCTTCCAAATGGGTCAAGTTTGTCTACTATTTTTCCCTAATAGTGAAGCATTTCGAATGTAATTTGAAAAGTGGCAAATTCACATTTATACTGGTCTATTTGTGAAACTATATAGACTACTGTTGTATACACAGAACAAACACAATGTTTTTCTTTAATTCCAAGGGTTATTAACTAAATGAAGAAGTACAAAGATGTGATCATTAGTAATTCATACTAATCTTTAACAACAAAATAATGGGCTAGCAGGGTATCTGTGTATGAAAGAGAAAGTGTTCATATCTGACAAAATATGAATATGAACCTTTCTGTGTTAATTCCTATAAAGCTTTCTGTTTTGGTTAATGTTAGTTGTTAAAATACTAAAATTTTATTTTAATATATTTAAAATAAATATTTTGAGAAAATATCATGATATGAGCCTAAGGTATTTTTCTACAAAAGAATGTAAGATCATTGTATTTACTTAAAAAAAATAATACTATGCAATAGCTAGTTTATGTTCAGTAAGCAGGGATCATTTGCTATATCTATTTATATTAGATATAGACCGTGGATGCCAACTTGTAAGAACCCCACTAACTAAAAGGAAAACATTTTAGTAAATGAAATTTGTCTTACTCTTTTTGGTAAAAAAGATTTTAATATGCTCATAATCCCAATGTCAATTTTGCACAGTTTGTTTAAAAATACTTTTACAAACATATCATTTGATACTTGCTTAAAAAGCCCATGAAGCAAAGGTGGAAAGAACTATCATTAGTTTCAAATTTACCATTGGAAAAAGTTAAGAATTAGGTTAATACAATTTGCCCAAGCTCATGCAGATAAACTGCTCAAGGAAGAAACCTAATTCTTACTTTAAGTTCTATATGTTTCTATTAAACCATACCATTTCCTGTAACACAAAAATATTTAAAGAGAATTTAACCTATGTTATTGGGAATTTTTAAAAAAGATTTTTACTTATTTATTTGAGAGAGAGAGAATGTGTGTGCAAGAGAGAGCATGAGCAGAGCATTGGAGCAGAGGGAGAAGCAGACTCCTCGCTGACCAGGGGAGCCCAACACGGGACTTGATCCCAGGACTCCGGATCATAACCTGAGCCAAAGACAGGAGCTCAACTGACTGATTATTGAGTCAGTTCCTAGGTGGAACCTAGGCGCCCAGGAATATTAAATGAATAAAAAGTACAAAGGAAAATAAGAGGCCACTATTTTACTCTCTGTCAGATGTAAGGCTACAAATAAATATGACAGGAAGACTAGCTGGGAAGAAATGTTTTTTGTCTCCTTGGAAATACAGGAATTTCTTTTATAGATCTACACACAAAAAAAAAAAGAAAAACTAAAAACTTTAACCTAACAAAGATTAATAAATGGAAGAAATTCCTATATATTTAACTAAGATATTCCACAAAAAGATAAAGATATTTAAATAAATCTATATACCTAAGATTTTTGTCACTGTCCCTATAGCTAAATTGGCTCTTAACAGAATTATTTTGACTCCTAGAAGAACTATGATTACAATGGCTCTAGACCCCCAAATTCCATGGGACACATGCCTGAGACAGAATTCTGGTTTTTGATACTAGGAATTACCCACTATTCCTGGCATTCCCCTATATAAGAAAAGGTCTACTTTTTTTTTTCTCCATATTGAGTCCACCATGTTTAAAAGTACATTCTAAGAGTAAGATCAAAACTATTTCTGCTTGCTTCCTAATGTCAACATTGTATTATGAACTGTTGGAAAATACCAAGCACACACACAAATCTAACTAGTTTTAGTGAAACACTTTTTGTGAAATATTTGCTACATGTGAAATACTTTTACTCATATAAAACCATACCTGAAGTGTAATGTTGCACAGATCTCATTTAATATAACAGTCTTTACTGCAATAGAGGGTGTGGGAGAACAAATGGAACACGAAGTACTAAAGAGCTGTCCAGAGGCACCTGGGTGGTTCAATCCATTAAGTGTCTGACTCTCGATTTCAGCCCAGGTCATGATCTCCAGTTGTGAGATGAGCCCAACATGGGGCTCCATGCTGCTGGGGTGGGTGTGGAGCCTGCTTGGGATTTCTCTCTCCCTTTCCCTCTGTCCCACCGTCCCCCCACCAATGTGCATGATCTCTCTTTCTCTCTCTCCTTAAAAAAAAAAAAAAAAAAGTTGTCCATTGTAGGCTGAGCATCTTGTTAGTACAGTCTAACAGTCTAAAAAAACATTTTTAATAAAATACACTTCTAAGTTTGAGATAACATTTTAAAAGTAAATTAATTCAGTATTCAAAAGAATAATGAAGTGTACTGAACTGAAAAAGATATTTTTATCATTTAGTCAAAGACGTCCTTTACATGTATTAACAGAATAGAAGCTGTTAGGAAAATTAATTTTTATTCTCTTAATCAAATAAACACCCCAATAATTTTGACTGAAAGTTTGATTCTTGTCATCAACACTTCCAAAGACTTCAAAAAACTGTAAACTTTAAACTTCTTAGTTTTTATCTCATAGAAAACCTGGAGCATTAATAAAGCTTGCTTATATAACCAAAGTTATGTAACAAATGAGCCAAAGATAAACCCTAAGATGACTAAATTCAATAACAAGGTATACACTAAAAAAAAAAAAATTCTCTTTCTCTAGTTGAAAATATTTTTTTGTTCTAAAGCATCTAACCAAAAGAGTAAACTGAATTGCCAAAACACATTATATATGCTGAAAGTGAAAGGTAAAAAAGATATGTAAAACTTCCATGTAAAGCTTTATATGTTAGATTGTATCTCTATAAGGAAGTTTTTCATTTGAGAAGCAAATGAAAATTGTGAGCAACTTCTGATATTACTGTGATCTGGAAGAAAAACTCCACCTTTTATTAGGTATATTCTTGCCATTTGTCTGTTGACTAGAAAAATATTAAAAACCAGGAAAACAAAATAACACCTAATAATAACAGTACTTTTCCTCTCATCATATATAATTTAACTCTAATTGAAACATATCTCTATACTGCTATCTTTAGTATTCATTCTGTAAGACTATTCGAAGGCCTTTCAGGTACTTCAATAACAAATACCCTTTGGATGGCATCCATGGTGAACCACCAGTATAGATCATATAAGCACTGTACAATATCATGCTTCAAATTTTCCCCTTTGAGAGTCAGAAGTTACTCTACATACTGAACATGGAATATTATGAGAAATATTATCTTATAAACCAAAGAAATTTCATTATCACATTCTTGTTCTCTTGCCCAATTTAGTCTCTATATATGAAATTATAGAAGAGTCTCCCTCATGACATGAAAAATAGATTTTAGCCTTATAAATGTTTTATTTCATTCAATGTCCAACTGAATCAGAATGAAAACTGATGAAAAGTAAATCTCCAAAGATATTGCTAAGAATGTCAGATTCATTAATGATTTTATCAACAAATATATAATAAATTCCTATTAAGAGGCAAGAACTGTGCTAAGTACTAAAGTTAAATGGTGAACCACCTAAGCATGGTCCCTCTCCATGGAGCTTTGCATCTTTGGGGGGACAGGCAACAAACAGAAGAGAAAGGTCATTAGAGCTGATGATAAGTAGTATAAAGCAAATAAACAGGTTATTGAGGCAGAGGAAAACCGAAGGAGAACTCAACTCTGAAGAAAATCACTTAAGCGTTTAGGCCTTAAACCCGCAGAAGTCTGATCACAGAGGGCTCTATAGGCCATATAACATTAATAATAAATGTAAATATTTACAAGTGCCAAGAACAGTTACGAATGCTTTATATGAATTATCTTCTTTACCAGCACATATGCCAGAGAGGGACGAAGCATTTGTCTAAGATTCTACAGCTAGAAAGTGGTTTAACCAGGATTTGACTCTAGGAAATGTATTTGAAGAGAAAACATTTTAATGCTTTAAGTGGGAACCAACACAATCTTTTTTAACCTTTAAGAAGATTGGCTGGAAGAAAGGGGAGGAAATGGAAACCCACTTGGGACACCAACAGGGGAGTGTAGAAAGAGATAAATGAGGTACTATTGCTCTTGCAATCATGGACATTAAGGTCAAGAGATAGATCAAGATAGATTTTGGAAAGAGGACTGGCAAGATTTGCTAATTAGGCATGATTATAGAGAATGAAGAAGAAAGAGAAATAAAATATGACTTTTAGGTTCTGACTTGATCAAACATGTACCTAGGCTGTGAAACCATTTGTTAAGAAAGAGGTAAAGAGAGTTAGAGGAGGGCAGCCTGGGTGGCTCGGCGGTTTAGTGCCGCCTTCAGCCCAGGGCGTGATCCTGGAGTCCTGGGATCGAGTCCACATGGGGCTCCCTGCATGGAGCCTGCTTCTCCCTCTGCCTGTCTCTGCCTCTCTCTCTCTCTCACTCTGTATCTCTCATGAATAAATAAAATCTTAAAAAAAAATAAAGTACAATTGCTTGACGCTAGTATCATTTAAAAAAAAAAAAGAGGGTTAGAGGAGAGAAAAAAAATCAAGATATCTGAACTATCAAGCAGGGATTTAAAAGTGGTGTCATGATCATACAGGTAGTATTTAAAGCCATTCTAAAAATTCGAATGAAGATAGAATGGAAAATGAATAGAGATTAAGATCACATAATGCACGGCTGAGCCAGAAGAATACTGACCTTTCAAAGTTGTAAAGAGCAAAAGAATTCAAAAGGAAAGACAGAGACCAAGTCAGAAGAGCAATGACAGAAAAAGAAAGAAAAGCCAAGGAAGGTTATATAGGTTAAAGACAGAGGTTT